ATACAATTCGATCATGTTTTGAGCTATACTATAGGATTTATAAATTAATGTTGTATTAGAATAATCGGAAAACTTTTTATTAATCATCAAATACAAATCCATTATGTATTGAGCTATACTATAGTATTTATAAATTAGTGTTGTATTAGATTAATCGGAAAACTTTTTATTAATCATCAAATACAATTCGATCATGTTTTGAGCTATACTATAAGATTTATAAATTAGTGTTGTATTAGAATAATCGGAAAACTTTTTATTAATCATCAAATACAAATCCATTATGTATTGAGCTATACTATAGTATTTATAAATTAGTGTTGTATTAGATTAATCGGAAAACTTTTTATTAATCATCAAATACAATTCGATCATGTTTTGAGCTATACTATAGGATTTATAAATTAGTGTTGTATTAGAATAATCGGAAAACTTTTTATTAATCATCAAATACAATTCGATCATGTTTTGAGCTATACTATAGGATTTATAAATTAGTGTTGTATTAGATTAATCGGAAAACTTTTTATTAATCATCAAATACAATTCGATCATGTATTGAGCTATACTATAGGATTTATAAATTAGTGTTGTATTAGAATAATCGGAAAACTTTTTATTAATCATCAAATACAAATCCATTATGTATTGAGCTATACTATAGTATTTATAAATTAGTGTTGTATTAGATTAATCGGAAAACTTTTTATTAATCATCAAATACAATTCGATCATGTTTTGAGCTATACTATAGGATTTATAAATTAGTGTTGTATTAGATTAATCGGAAAACTTTTTATTAATCATCAAATACAAATCCATTATGTATTGAGCTATACTATAGGATTTATAAATTAGTGTTGTATTAGAAATCGGAAAACTTTTTATTAATCATCAAATACAATTCGATCATGTTTTGAGCTATACTATAGGATTTATAAATTAGTGTTGTATTAGATTAATCGGAAAACTTTTTATTAATCATCAAATACAAATCCATTATGTATTGAGCTATTACCCGCTAAGTGGACAACAAACACAACGCGCAGATGTCTATTGACTATTAAAAAAATGTTTGTCTATTTAAGCAAAAAGATTGCAATTCCCAACAACAACAAAGTTCGGGCACTGGCCTGGAGTCGGGATCACGGTTTTATTGCCTGCGGCGGCGACGATGGACTACTAAAAGTATTGAAACTCGAGTCGATGGCCGCCACCGCCGATGGTGGCGACACCACTGGTGGTTCTAAAAGTGGTGCCAAAGGTTTGGCCGCTTCAAAGAATCTATCGATGTATCAGACACTGGAAGGCCATTCGGGAACCGTTGAGAATCTTTGTTGGAACGAACCGTTCCAGAAGTTAACGTCAAGCGATCAAAACGGTCTGATTATTGTTTGGATGCTTTACAAGGGTTCGTGGTTTGAAGAGATGGTCAATAATAGAAACAAATCGGTGGTAAAAGGTATGTCCTGGACGTTTGATGGACTAAAAATCTGTATCGTCTATGAAGACGGCGCTGTTATAGTCGGTTCGGTTGACGGCAACCGATTGTGGGGTAAAGAACTTAAAGGTATGAAGTTATCGCGTGTCGAGTGGTCACCCGATGCCCGACTGATATTGTTCGGTGTTCTCGATACTGAAGTACACATCTATGACCAAAACGGTAACTTTCTGACAAAACTGACTCTACAGGCCATACATGGAATCTATGGCCGTACGGCTGGCTACGGGACTACCACACAGATTATGGGCATCGAATGGTTCAATGGACGGCCAAATTCCAGGGACACAACATCGTTGGCCATTGCTTTCGAAAACGGAAGAATCCAATTGATGAGACAGGAGAACGACGACAATCCTATTGTCTTTGACGCCGATATACGTATATCGAGTATCTGCTGGAATACCAATGGATCCATTTTGTCGGTAACCGGTTGTATGGACACTGAAACGGATAACAAACGTAATTATATAAAATTCTACAATCAATCGGGAGATTTGATTCAATCGATGCGAGTGCCGGGAAAAGAGATCTACGGTTCTTCGTGGGAAAGGGAGAGTCTGAGGATTGCACTGGCAGTCGATTCCTATATATTCTTCGCTAATATACGACCCGATTATAAGTGGTGCTACTTTGCATCGACAGTTGTCTACGCTATGATCATCAACAATACCAGTGGCCAACAGCAGCAGCAGCAGCAACAACAACAACAACAACAACAACAACAACAGCTATTGTCGACATACAGTTTGTCAAACGTGTCAAACAATTGACCAGTGATTCGCTAAAAAGGGCCGAAATTTTGATAATTTTGACATTTCTGGGAACCAGTGGAACAATTACATTGTAGACAATACCCATAATCTTCTTGCGTTTCGTTAGATAACCGAAATATTCGGAATTGACTTTCAATTTAAATAGCCGTCGGGGATGTCGACCAGCAAAACGGATAAACGGTTTCAATAGATTATCAACGAATGCACTGAAATCATAGGGAAGCCATTTGAAGTCCAGCTCTTCGATAGCTGGATATGAGTTGTCGTCAAATGTCCAGACATATGACTTGGACAGACCGGTGTCTTTGCGGGGCAACAATCGTACCGATAATTGTCGTAAATGTTTTAATTGTGATAAATAGGTCCATAATTTTTCTTTACATTCGTTACAGTCTTGACGACTACTGTAGTCGATGCTAGTGTCACAGCAAAGTAGAGAACAGTTGTTTAGAACCAGTTGTTCCAGTTTTGGCAAATATCGGTCAAACTGGTCAAACATATTCGGCGTAAACGATATACCGGTCAGATTGATGGACAATAGTTTCGGAAAACAACTTCTTGTTAGATAATTGTTAATTATGGCCCGATTTTGATAGAAATCAATCTTCAAGTGTTGCAAATCATTCATTTGATCCAATTGTGGAAACGATGATTCACTTTGCGGCATAAATGTTTCCGGTGTATAAAACAGTACATTCAATGTCTTCAACTGAGGAAATGTATTGGCTATCAGTGCCAATGGCTCGACATTGTAGACCTCAAACTCCAGATGTTTTAAATTAATGGCATTTCGTTTGATTATATCTAACATTTGCTGAGTTATACGATATTTGTGACACTTGTTTAGCTTTAGTGTATGAAGTGTTGGTCCGAAAAATTGCGACACTTTATCGATCGGAGTTTCGTGAACATCGAAACTGAATACTTCCAGTTGCTTAAGATTCTGTATCAAATACATTAGACCGAATTCGGTCATTCGATCTAAATTGGTTGTCGATGTAATAGACAAATGAATCAATTGATCCGAAAGGGTTTCGCCGATTTGCATCCACTGTCGCGAAGACAGATGATTGTTAAGCATCGAGTTATTGATCTGAAGACACTCCAGTTGTTGGCACTGACGTCTAATCCAAACGATTAGTTTCAGATCGATTTCGGCACTCAATTCAATGCAACGAATATTTCGGCAAAACTTGAACATCTTCGACAAGATTTTCTTCGTATAGTCATTGAGTGTAAACAAATCACTGGATTGATGGTCAACAATATCGACTGCCAGTGATCTATGTCTACCATCACAACAACCGCCAACTGTTTTACCAATTTTCATACCTTTCAATAAACTGAGATCTTTTTCCACCAAATATTTGAATCGTTTGTTAAGTCTGAACCTTAGCTTATCCTTCAGCGACAGTTTGGCCATAATATCTAACAGACAATAGTCGTTGAGGTCTTCAAGAGTTTTGCTATTATATTATAAATAAATAAATAAAATAACATACAATTGAAGGTTACTTTAGATTTTTTTTTGGAGGCAATAATTCATATGATTATTATTATTATTATTTTATAACTTTAATAACAACTTTAATACAGTATAATACTGTACTATAATATATTGTTAATACACAAACAACTAAACTTTTAAAAACCTGTTATCTAAGTTTATAATATAAATATGATTTTACACTTATTTTAGGTTATAGACTAAAAATCGCACAAAAACTTTATTTTTAATCGCTTTGATAAAAATTTTTGAATATTTTTAATTTTATTATTATAAATAAACAAATTTGCAATTTTAATCCATATATCTATTTATTGATATTTATTGATAATTATTAATAAATAAATAAATATAAAACAAAATTAGAAAAATATTAAATTAATAATAAGTTATCAAAAGACATACAATAATAAATAATTTTAACTAAAAACATGTGATATATATATATTTAAATAATATTTATTGAAAATTGTTATTAAATTAATAATAATAATAATTTAGATTTAATTTTGTGGGAAAATTTAGTTTAAAAAATGACTATTTTTTTTAGTCAAAATTATTTTATTGTTAACATTACATAATACACGGCTTATGATCTACCGAAAACTCGGGCCCTTTTTATGTATATTACATATGTTTTTTGTGTAACTATATCTCTATTAAATAATTATATAATTACATAAATGATGTCGCATTTTTTTAAACAACTCATGACAATATGGTATCTTTTATAATTACCAAATGTAGCACAAAAAACATAAGTAACATAAATAAAAAAGTACCGAGATTGTTCTGAAAATGTTTAGTGTATTTAACAATAATATAAAGTGATTTTTTCAACAAATAAAAAAATTATATCAATATATTATACAATAGGTGTCACTAAAATAAAACTATTATAACTATTTAATGCTATACACTGTATAAACTTATGCTGTATTGAAAATTTGAATTTTTAAATGCATGTAATGTTTTATACAGTAATACTAATTACTATACAGTCTTGCGGCCCAATAGTCACTCTCTTTTATAACGTCATGTAATAATGTAATATACTGTACATACATATATACTGTACTACAATATAATGACTAAAAAATATAGTGAATATTTTTTTCATACAATTGATTGAAAGCATGTTTTTAAAGTGTTATTCAAAGTAAAAACAAAACACAATTTGATTTGTTTTTGACTTTTACACAATCGTTGTCCGCAAATGACCACTCAATTCAATTTTGGTTCGGCGCCCACTTTGGCCACAACATCGACGCCATCCACCTTCACGTTTGGTCAGTTGACCACAACATCTCAGTCAACACTTCCGTCTTTTAACACTTCATTAACAACAACTCCTTTCTCATTGAATACAAATGCATTAAACTCTTTGTTGACCTCAAGTTTGGCCAACACTGGAATGAATCCATTGGGAACTACACCGCCATTAACTTTAACGCTGACCAGTGCTCCGACAGCGACCCCACAAACATCAACACAACAGATGACAACATTTCACGGTATGGGCGGAACCCCAAGCATTGCATCGGAGACGGCCACTGACCAGTCGGCCGATGCCAACAAATACAACAAAGACGTGTCATATAAACTAATAAAAGTAAAAAAACGTCACAATTCAAAGATTATGGATTCACTTAAGAAAGACACTAATAAGCTATCGACGGCAGAGATGGCGTATCGGATCTCAAAAGTGGAAGTCTTACAGACGCCGTCCAGTTATACAATCACTCAAAACAAGTATATTAACGCATCGACTAATCAATACTTCTTGGAAACAATTAACAACTTTGAACAACAAATGAATACTTATTCAAAACAAATACAAGATTTTGATACTAATGTCGACAATATGAACAAACCGTACATATCTGAAGAGTTATTAAAAATTATTGGTAAACAATGCGTTACACTTAAATATTTAGCAGACAAAGTCAATGGCATTCACACTAAATTTATTAATTTAAATAAAATATATATTAAATGTAATTTGAAATTAAATGTCGATAACAATTCAGGTAAATAAACAACTTTTCATCTAACAACTCATCCCTAATAAACAACTCCACAGACACTTCATTATCATCGCCAACCACTCCATCACTCATAATGAAAGTGACAGAAATTGATGACGATTTTAATGTTAGTCAAGAGGTGAAAGACAATGACAACAAAAGAAACAATTCAACACAGATTAGTGAAGACAACAACGACAAGTGTATACAACAAATAATCACCGATTGTACCACCGATGGCACTCAAAACTCTAATCAACTTATCGATAAAGATATTGAAGAGATGGGTGAATGCATAATGCCTAATCTTATAGATTTCAGTGGTAGTTATGTTGAGGCCAGTACTCAACAGTTGAATAATATATTGTCGACTCCAGATTCATACCAAAGTTGTCAGACAACACCTGATAATAATATTCATAAAAAATTTGATAACCATTCAAATGAATCAAATGTTGACGAATCGATAGATGAGAGACCAAAGAGTCCGCTTGAGATACAAATCAATGCAAATGTGGATAATTTGACACCAATTAAACAAAGAATTAACAAACAGTTGAGTCACGACCGGAACAACCATTCACTTTGTGAGTCTCCCATCACATCGTCATCTTCAACACATATAATGTCAACGTTGTCACCGACGCTGTCGAATGCAATGTCAAGTCCTGTATCGAGTTGTTCACCGAAGTTGAATAATATATTGTCGACTTCAGACACACAGCCGTTGATCACCACATCAGATATCAACAAATGTAATATATTTGAGACTATAATAGAAAACCAAATCATATCGGGTTTTATCGTCGGCGGCGAAGAAATGTTGTGTTTTGTTCAAATACTAAACACAGTTTTGAAGAATTTTAGTCTTCAGCAGATTAACAATGTTTGTGATGAACTGCAGATATTTTGTTCGCGTTGCACATCGGATCAGTTGGAAATACTCAAATCGGCGCAAATCATACCAATGTTAGCGACGTGTTGTAGACTCATAACAACAATTGACGCTAAAAGACTTTGTACGACATTAATAACAAGTATCAAAAAAATAGTTACAACTACTATAACAAGAGTTGAAAACATTGAAAACATTGAAAACATTGAAAACATTGAAAACATTGAAAACATTGAAAACATTGAAAACATTGAAAACATTGAAAACATTGAAAACACAAAACAAAAGAAGTTTTCTCATTATCCATTGGATGTAAGATCTGAATGTGTTCAGCTATACCACGAACTGAAAAGTACACGAAAAGCTGAAATCAGATATAAAGAATTACACCCGTTAAAGACTAGGTGTCCAAACTATAGCGACATACGCCGATACGTTATTGCTTTTAAAAAGACAGGTACTGTTGCGAATAAAAGATATCACCGAGAAGCAACAATAACAACACCAGAAATGTCTAAAAGAATATTAACTGAATATACACTAAACCCAATACAACCACCTATTAAAGTAGCGAAAAAAATTGGAATATCACGCGATTCTGTCAGAAAAGTTTTAAAAGCCGCTCATATGCATCCGTATAAGTTACAAACCATTCAACCTATAACTGAGATAGATAAGTTAAGAAGACTAGAATTTGCTAATTTTATGCTTTGTGAATATGAAGACGATCCGACAAAGACATTTCCTATGAAATTAGCCATTTGGGATGAAAAGGAATTCAAAATCAATGAAAGACCTAATATACAAAATTATCGCTTATATGCTCCTTATGGAAGTAAACCGGTATTTAATAGAGCATTAAATTACCAAACTGCCCAAAAAGTTATGGTTTTAGGAGGTGTTTGGGGAAACCGTATACTTGGTCCATTTTTTTTGATGGATCTGTTTCTGGTGCTTCGTTTACTAAAATGCTAGAAGAACAGGTTTGGCCAGTAATTAACAATCAACCCGATAGCGACGATGTCATATTTTTACTGGACGGTGCAAGTCCTCATTTTAGTCTTATTTCACGTGAATGGCTAAACGAGAAACTTCCAAAGCGATGGATTGGTAGGGGAGGATCAAAAGGAGGTTTAGCCGAGTGGCCAGCACGATCCCCTGATGTCACGCCCATGGACTTTTCGATATGGGGCATAATTCATGGTATTGTATCAAAAAAATATGTTGAAACTGTTGAACAATTAAAACAAGAAATAGAGTATGCCTTTACTTTTATTGATGAAATAATGTTACGAAATATTCGAGAAAATATGATTAAGAGATGGCAATATTTAATTACTTGTGATGGTGGACATATTGAACCATATATGTAATATCTGTTTGTCGTCAAACTCTTCAAATTCATTATTGTCTGTCCAATCGTTTGGCTCATCAGTCGATTCATTAACATCTAGTCTTTGGTCGCAATTATCGGTCTTTAAATATGACAAACAAATAATTAATTGAAAATCATTTATAAATAACTCATTCATTACCTCTGATTTTTATCTCCGAAATGTTGAGACACTAATTGAACGCTGTATGCGGTCATGTATTACTACACTATTTGTCATTAATTGTATTACTGTTTTTATTAATTAGTTTACAAATAAAACAAACAAATTATTTTATTTTTTTTATTATCGGAAAATGTTGGCAACAATTGTATGCATAATTTCATTCATGTGTGGACACCCGCCGCCGCCGGTGATCGTTGTCCTATGCTTGTTGCCGTTATAGTCATGTTAGACGACAAGTCTTCATAGATCAACGTAATCACTACTTTATCACAATGAATATCTTTGGGAAAGTTATTGATGAGCTCGAGTGATAGCTCCAGATGCCGATTGACGACCGTATAATGACCGTCGAGAGCCAACAATCTCATCGATTGTACTTCAAATAGTTCGTCCATTGCTATACATATCGGCCCACCGCTGATGATGATGACGATGATATCATTGACAGATCATTGTATTGATTATTATTATTAGTACCGGTATTAATATTATTGTTTGGCTGGTGTTGCAGTGTCTTCAACAGTCGTTCGTTTTCTAGCAATAGTTTAGCCGCTGGTTGCCGGCAATCAGTTCGTTGACGGCCAACTGACACTAGACTTTGAAGACACGGCGTGAGTCGCCAACCATTTCGTAGCACTTCAACAATAGCACACGTATTTCGTTCAACAGGTGCGGCCATTTTTCTCGGACATAGACTTTCTCAAAGTCGAGCAGAAAAGATATAGCTTTCTGTGGTTTACCCATTTTGCTACATAAGCGACAACAACAACAAATGGATTAGACATTAGTTTCATTGGATAAAAATACCGATTTTGTGTTTACATACATATAAAGTTCGGTCAACTCTTTGCCAATTAGTCGGGCAAATCGCATGCGTCCGATGTGTTTATAGGTACCCATTGTTAGCTCCGATATTTTCATTAAGACTACTATTGTGTGTTATTGTCCTCTAAATTGTGATTCAACACATTGGCCACTGATTTGATAGTTTTGACAGAAATTGACATTTCTTCGATTTGTCTTTTCTGTATTGCTTTTAGCGGACACTTTCTTTTGTTTTTATTTATGTGATAGTCTTATCACATGTTATGTAATGTCACACAATGTTTGCAAAATTACATACAATTTAAAGTTATTCATATACTGTATAATTGATAAATATTGTATTAAATTTTTACATTAAATTTCATTTTTTATTATACATATATGTAATGTTATATTTGTATGAATTTATTACTAGTTTGAAGTTTTATTACGTCACAGAGTGAATTTTGAAACCCTTCCGTGTACAATAAATGTGTTTTTATTAGAGACATCTATTGATATATTGAAACAATTAATTACTTTATACTACAGTACCTGTACTGTTGTGTAGAGTATAGGCAGTGCCTATAATAGGCTACAGTTTATACTGTAGTATTAGTTTAACTACCGGTAGAATCAGAGGTCCTGTCAATTTTGCAGTTGTGTGTATGTCTCCTCCCACTTATCACGCAAACAGTGTAGTAACAGTTACTGCTGCACTGTAGCTATTACTACACTGTTTGCGTGATAAGTGGGAGGAGACATACACACAATTTTTAAGCAGGCTTTTTCTTTGGGTAGAATACAGTACAGTATATACTATATAATGTAATATTGAGTTAAAAACTTTTATTTTATTTCAAAAAAATGTTATTATTATTAGTGAAACAAAAAGTTCTATTCAATCAAATGTTTATTTATTTATTGTTTTGTTTAATTAATTTTGTTGTTAATGTTATCATAAATTACTATTCAATTAGTTTATTATTATTATTATTATTTTATAAGTTAATTAAAAAAAATAATAATAATTAAAATATATTTTAAAACATTTTATAGTTAAACAGTTAATAATTTAAATGATTTTTTTTTTAAAATAAATACTTTTATTACAATTAGTTTTAATTGTTTGTTTGTTTTGTTGTTGTTATTGTAAAACATATAAATGTATTGTCAATACTAGTGGTAATTATAAGGTATTTATTGTTTATTTTTGTTTATCAATAGTAATAATAATAAACTTATTAAATATAACTTATAATAACTAATATTATTTATATTATTATTATTAATAATCTATTGATTGAATTTAATTATTAATAATTTTTTTTTCAATAGTTTTTATTTATTTTTTGTTAACTAAAGTTTTAGTGATGAAGACATGGATCTAATGAAAAAGTTTTGGATAGACTTCAGGCAACGTTTCATATCATTACTGTCCTATCAGTTCAGTAAATTTGGATCAGCTTTTGCACTAAATATTCTCCACAACACAAACATTAAAACAGTTGACAATACAGATGTCAAACAATTGAATAAAGAAGAACTGGAAGTTCATTTGACTTTATATGATTTGAAACGTCTGGAACTGTATTCACAAAATCTTGTCGATTATCATCTGATTGTAGATCTGTTGCCAATCGTTGCCAGACTTTATTTTACCCAAAGATTTAGTTCGCAAATTCATTTATCGCACGTTCAGAACGCCATTCTCTTGAGTATTGGTTTACAACACAAAGATATCGATGACATAACCAATGAATTAGGTCTGCCTTCCGGTCAAGTGTTGGGTTTGTTTAGTCGTGTAATCAAAAAGTTTGCAAACTATTTGAAAGCAATTGAAGAGAAATCCATTGAAAAGACATTAACAAACATTAAATCATTTGATGAAAACAAGTTACGACCCATCAGTCAGACACTGGACGACGAGTTAGAAGAAGCGGCACAAGTGGTCCAAAGGTCTGAGAAGAAACAATTCAAAGAGTTGTCTAAAGATTTGGCTCAGTATGCCATCAAAGGATCGGAGGATGACTGGGATAGTGCTCTGAAAGGCAGCAAAAAGACATTGATTTCCATCAAAAGGTATTATTTATTCATTTTTAGTATTATTATTGACTTATTTTGTGAATTAGTTTATTTAAAATGTTTTGTTTATAATTACCGATAGTCTTGCAAAGCGATCGATTGGCGATGAAAGCGGTGACCAAAAGTCTAACGAAAAAAATCATAAAAAGCAAAAAAAGTTTAAGAAATTTAAGAAAAACAAAAATCATTAACTATTATACAGTAATGAGAAAAAAAGTCATATTTCACGTGAATTCAAAATACTGTAAAATAGTCTCTAATATGACATTTCAATAGATATTCGATATTGCATTGTCATTGCTATCTATTGGTATCTATCTAAAAGGTTATCCTTCAGCCACAGTTTGGCCATAATATTTAACAGACAATAGTAGTTGAGTGATAGGTAAGTGATTGTTTGATTCATAGATTGATTGATTGATTGATTGATTGATTGATTGATTGATTGATTGATTGATTGATTGATTCAGTCATTCATTCATTCATTGATTGATTAATTGGCCGGTGTTGGCCTCAAAATCATAGATAAATAGAGTACCGTTTTTTTTATCGATTATCGACAGTTTAGTCGTATCCTTATTGAAGGTCATTCTAGTGGCCACACAATTGGTGTTAAACTTGTGGACAACATTGAGATTCGGTATCAAATAGTGTTGAAAAGTACCCGATTCTTGAGCAACGATCAGATTCTTTTCGGTTAAAGTAATGCAAACAATCGGATCGTTTCGCGACACAAACGTTATCTTTACCGACTCGTCATCCAAGTCTAAGTCATCGCCTGTCCGACCAATTTGCGTATAAGTCATACGCTGAGCGGCAATACCTTTCGGTGTATTAGTATTGGCCGCCGGAGTCTTGAATTTCCACAAACAAAACGAATCTTTCGATGAGGCGATAACTCTTGTATTATTTATGGACAGATAATGTACCGACAGTTCAATGGTAGTCATATCGGCTGGTGTTCCGATAGCGTTGCATATTATCAGCGATGATGTCTCCTTGGTTTTCGTAGATCCACCCAATTCCTCAGTTCGGGTCGCGATTACACACAGTTGTCCGTGGGATGCAATTTGTAGCAGATTTCGGACACTTTTGAAATATTTGGTTTCGCTGGGAATGTGCCAAAAGATAACCGTATCGACAGTACTGCCGGCGGCCGCTACCGTATCATCGGTTTGTAGCTGTTGTTGCTGCTGCTGTTGGCCACTGGTATTGTTGATGATCATAGCGTAGACAACTGTCGATGCAAAGTAGCACCACTTATAATCGGGTCGTATATTAGCGAAGAATATATAGGAATCGACTGCCAGTGCAATCCTCAGACTCTCCCTTTCCCACGAAGAACCGTAGATCTCTTTTCCCGGCACTCGCATCGATTGAATCAAATCTCCCGATTGATTGTAGAATTTTATATAATTACGTTTGTTATCCGTTTCAGTGTCCATACAACCGGTTACCGACAAAATCACTCACTCACTCACTCACTCACTGCTAATTAAAATCCTTATTAAATATTTTATTAATATTTTATTAATTATTTTTTATAAAATTAGTTGTGGACTCCGATCTGAAAAAGCTATTCTGGGTTGGGGTTTGGGCTGAAATTGGCGCCCAATTAGACGCCAACGAGGATCGCCTACGGAACCGCTTTTATGCCATGAGAAGACGTATCATTTTGGAGGAATATTTTAATAAATAAATTTTTTATGTTATTTAACTACCGGTACAAAATTTAAATATTTTTTTTACATATGATATCATATTAATTGATAATATATATATACAGTACATATAAAACAATTACAAAAAAATTATATTACCGTAATAATAATAATAATAATATAAAAAAAATACAATAATAACAGGGTTGCTAAAGGTTTTCGATTTCAGGAGGGGGGGGGTAAAATTTTCGAAAAAGCTTGGGGAAAAATTAATTAAATATATACTTTTTTAATAAAAAATTTGAAATATTTTTGTACCGGTAATTGATATTTTTTGTGTAATTCTATAATTATTAAATTTAATACATTTATTAAAATGAATAAAATAATCTTTAAAATGATAAATAATTTCAATTTTTTTTTTAATAATATTTCAAATGATTTTATAAATGATTTTATAATATACTGGTATACAGTACTATAATACTGTATAAGTTTATAATAAAAAAAAATTATAGGTTACTATAGTTACCCGCTAAGTGGACAACAAACACAACGCGCAGATGTCTATTGACTAATTAAAAAAAACAAAAATGTTTGTCTATTTAAGCAAAAAGATTGCAATTCCCAACAACAACAAAGTTCGGGCACTGGCCTGGAGTCGGGATCACGGTTTTATTGCCTGCGGCGGCGACGATGGACTACTAAAAGTATTGAAACTCGAGTCGATGGCCGCCGCCGCCGCCGATGGCGGCGACACCACTGCTGGTGGTGCTAAAAGTGGTGCCAAAGGTTTGGCCGCTTCAAAGAATCTATCGATGAATCAGACACTGGAAGGCCATTCGGGAACCGTTGAAAATCTTTGTTGGAACGAACCGTTTCAGAAGTTAACGTCAAGCGATCAAAACGGTCTGATTATTGTTTGGATGCTTTATAAGGGTTCGTGGTTTGAAGAGATGGTCAATAATAGAAACAAATCGGTAGTAAAAGGTATGTCCTGGACGTTTGATGGACTAAAAATCTGTATCGTCTATGAAGACGGCGCTGTTATAGTCGGTTCGGTTGACGGCAACCGTTTGTGGGGTAAAGAACTTAAAGGTATGAAGTTATCGCGTGTCGAGTGGTCACCCGATGCCCGACTGATATTGTTCGGTGTTCTCGATACTGAAGTACACATCTATGACCAAAACGGTAACTTTCTGACAAAACTGACTCTACAGGCCATACATGGAATCTATGGCCGTACGGCTGGCTACGGGACTACCACACAGATTATGGGCATCGAATGGTTCAATGGACGGCCAAATTCCAGGGACACAACATCGTTGGCCATTGCTTTCGAAAACGGAAGAATCCAATTGATGAGACACGAGAACGACGACAATCCTATTGTCTTTGACGCCGATATACGTATATCGAGTATCTGCTGGAATACCAATGGATCCATTTTGTCGGTAACCGGTTGTATGGACACTGAAACGGATAACAAACGTAATTATATTAAATTCTACAATCAATCGGGAGATTTGATTCAATCGATGCGAGTGCCGGGAAAAGAGATCTACGGTTCTTCGTGGGAAAGGGAGAGTCTGAGGATTGCACTGGCAGTCGATTCCTATATATTCTTCGCTAATATACGACCCGATTATAAGTGGTGCTACTTTGCATCGACAGTTGTCTACGCTATGATCATCAACAATACCAGTGGCCAACAGCAGCAACAACAACAACAACAACAGCTACAAACCGATGAGACGGTAGCGGCCGCCGGCAGTACTGTCGATACGGTTATCTTTTGGCACATTCCCAGCGAAACCAAATATTTCAAAAGTGTCCGAAATCTGCTACAAATTGCATCCCACGGACAACTGTGCGTAATCGCTACCCGAACTGAGGAAATGGGCGGATCTCCGAAAACCAAGGAGACATCATCGCTGATAATATGCAACGCTATCGGAACACCAGTCGATATGACTACCATTGAACTGTCGGTACATTATCTGTCCATTAATAGTACAAGAGTTATCGCTTCATCGAAAGATTCGTTTTGTTTGTGGAAATTCAAGACTCCGGCGGCCAATACTAATACACCGAAAGGTATTGCCGCTCAGCGTATGACTTATACGCAAATTGGTCGGACAGGCGATGATCTAGACTTGGATGACCAGACAGTAAAGATAACGTTTGTGTCGCGTAACGATCCGATTGTTTGCATCAGTTTATCCGAAAAGAATCTGATCGTTGCTCAAGATTCGGGTACTTTTCAACACTATTTGTTACCGAATCTGAATGTTGTCCACAAGTTTAACATCAATTGTGTGGCCACTAGAATGGCCTTCAATAGGGATTCGACTAAACTGTCGATTATCGATAAAAACGGTACTCTATTTATCTATGATTTTGAGGCCAACACCGGCAACGATCTAAGTGGACAGTTAGTAGAGTTTGAAAAACATGACGTCTGGGACACGAAATGGTCGTTCGACGACACAGATGTGTTGGCATTTACCGAAAAAACTAAACTCTGTGTCTATAATATGAAAACGGGTGAATCGGAAGAGCCGTTTATGTCCAGCGGACACATCTGTACGTTCAATGATCTAACATTGAGAACAGTACTACTCGACGAACTGGTCAACGATTGTCATCAAACAGACGAACCAATTATGGTTATTAGCGGTCATATTGTCGACTATGAGACCAAATCGCTGGCCGAAGCGCGACAATTGCTCGAAAAAGTCGAGTTAAGCGAAGCCATCGAATATATTGAACAACAATCACATCCGCGATTGTGGCGTCTGTTGTGTCACACGGCTCTCGACAAACTCGACCTCAATGTCGCTGAGATGGCAATGATTAGATGCAAGGACTATAAGGGCATACAGTTTGTCAAACGTGTCAAACAATTGACCAGTGATTCGCTAAAACGGGCCGAAATTTATGCATATAGTGGTCAGTTTGACGAAGCGGAACGCGTTTATTTGGATATCGATCGCAAAGATCTGGCCATTGAATTAAGGAAAACATTGGGCCAATACAAGCGAGTGGTTGAACTGTTACAATCGGGATTCGCTACCGCCGATGACAATCAATTGCGTGACGCACTGTGCAATCTGGGCGACCAGTTTGCCGATAATCATTGTTGGGACGAAGCAGTTGTCTACTATGAAAGATCCAATGCATTTGATCGGCTATTCGAGTGCTACTGTTTGCTGGAAAACTACGATGGCCTGAGAAAGTTGATGACCAACTTCAACGACAATCATCCGATTCTTGTCGAATTTGGCCGAGTCTTTGAATCGGTCGGTATGTGTTCGGAAGCGGTAGAAGCCTATCGCAGGGGCCGTAAGATTGATTTGGCCATCAGTTGTTGTGTAACAATGAGCGAATGGAAACTGGCCATCGATATGGCACACGATTACGATGTACCCGATATTGATCCGCTTTTGTCCAAATATGCCCAACACTTGTTAGCTAAGAACAAGTTCTTCGATATCGTCGAACTCTACAAGAAGGCCAACAAAATACCGGAGGCGTCGACAATGTTGATCAAAGTTATCAGTGATTATAAAAAAGATGACAACAAATCCGATCCAATACTGTTGAAAAAGTTGTATACTTTAGTTGGTTTACTACACGAAGAAAGTCGCAAATCGACGGCCAAAATGCCGTCCTCGTCGTCGTCGGCGGCCATCAACCGAAATGTCAGTTCGTTGAATGCGCTGTTGAATGACGAATCGTTTTCATTTGAAAATACAAATTATATGATTTTAGACGAACCGTGGAAAGGTAGGCATTACCGATAGGGGGGGGGAATCGGTAGTCTCGCGGTGTTAGACTAGTAGACTATCGGTGGCTAAACTATTGATTAAAAAAAATATATTTTTTAAAAATTTAATTTAAATTAGTAATAACTTATTGAAATGAATTGGTATTATTGATGCTAATATCAATTGATATCTAAATTGATATTTAAATTGATATCTAAATTGATATTTAAATTGATATCTAAATTGATATCTAAATTGATATTTAAATTGATATCTAATTGATATCTAAATTGATTTTAAATTTTTAATTAGAGATTATATACAGTAATATACAGTAAATTTATATTAAATAAAGTTAACAAACTTTTTTTTTTACGCATTATTATATGAATACCTATACCTGAATCATACCCTAATACTACAGGTGCCGAAGCCTACCACTACTTGATCCTATGTCAGCGACAACTGTACGAAGGCTACTATGATTCGGCTATGAAAACGGCATTACATTTGCGTGATTACGAAGACTTTATAGACGGCAAAGAGATATACTGTTTGCTTGCACTGACCAGTTGTGCCAACAAAGCCTTTTCCATTTGTTCCAAGGCGTTCATCAAACTGGAATCGATGGACACCATCGGCGATGATCATCGAATCCAATACGAAGAACTGGCAATCAATATATTCAGTAAGAATCCGCCAAAAGATTCGCGAACGGCTACGAAAAGTGAGTGCACTTATTGCGAGACAATGATCGCCGATTGGCTGACAGTGTGTCCCAGTTGTCACATCAAGTTTGCCATATGTGTGGCCAGCGGTCGACCGATTATGGACGCCAGCAAACAGTGGACGTGTAACCGATGCGGACATCATGCATACAAATCCGATATTATTACGTTCAATAACTGTCCACTTTGTCATCAAATCATTGATAACAAGCAATCGATGAGATAATTGTGTTGTTATATGTCTTTACCGATAATTTTTGTTAAAACAATTTCAATTATAATTTGTTAATAATAATAATCTATTTTATTTATTTACTGCAAACAAAACAGAGTACCGTAAATGTGATTAAAATAATATATATTTAATGGTATTTAGTTTAATATTAATAAAATAATTGTCTTATAAGTTATCAACAATATTGAAGTCAAATATAAATTTTAATAAAAAAAAATCATTTCAATCAATGATTTTTGTTTTTCTTAAATTTCTTAAACTTTTTTTGCTTTTTATGATTTTTTTCGTTAGACTTTTGGTCACCGCTTTCATCGCCAATCGATCGCTTTGCAAGACTATCGGTAATTATAAACAAAACATTTTAAATAAACTAATTCACAAAATAAGTCAATAATAATACTAAAAATGAATAAATAATACCTTTTGATGGAAATCAATGTCTTTTTGCTGCCTTTCAGTGCACTATCCCAGTCATCCTCCGATCCTTTGATGGCATACTGAGCCAAATCTTTAGACAACTCTTTGAATTGTTTCTTCTCAGACCTTTGGACCACTTGTGCCGCTTCTTCTAACTCGTCGTCCAGTGTCTGACTGATGGGTCGTAACTTGTTTTCATCAAATGATTTAATGTTTGTTAATGTCTTTTCAATGGATTTCTCTTCAATTGCTTTCAAATAGTTTGCAAACTTTTTGATGACACGACTAAACAAACCCAACACTTGACCGGAAGGCAGACCTAATTCATTGGTTATGTCATCGATGTCTTTGTGTTGTAAACCAATACTCAAGAGAATGGCGTTCTGAACGTGCGATAAATGAATTTGCGAACTAAATCTTTGGGTAAAATAAAGTCTGGCAACGATTGGCAACAGATCTACAATCAGATGATAATCGACAAGATTTTGTGAATACAGTTCCAGACGTTTCAAATCATATAAAGTCAAATGAACTTCCAGTTCTTCTTTATTCAATTGTTTGACATCTGTATTGTCAACTGTTTTGATGTTTGTGTTGTGGAGAATATTTAGTGCAAAAGCTGATCCAAATTTACTGAACTGATAGGACAGTAATGATATGAAACGTCGCCTGAAGTCTATCCAAAACTCTTTGAGCCAATTATTGGATCTAAGCTGAGAAGCTGTGATATTATCTTCAATGGATGACTCGTTCAATACCTTTAACATAATACATGAGTGCTCTCCAGTCAATTCATTTGGTGTTTGTCTCAAATAGATCGGAACAAAACCAGATTTCTTCCAGAACTTCAGCAAATCACTGGTTAAACCAAACGAAACGCCCAAATAGTCCAAGTGTTCAGCTTTTCGTTCGTTTAATGCCAACAATAATGGCGGCAATGTCTTGCTTTGACCATCGCTATCGGTCGACTCAATTGTCGCTTCATTTTCGTTGAGATCAATATTGAATTGACCACAAAAATAGTCTTCCAAGAGTTTCAGTGCACGCGATCCGTATCCCATTCCCTGGTAGTTAGGATTTGTGGCAATCCTGATAACACGTACTCCCGATAGCGAACCAAAGTGTGAATCCTGAAACTGTTGCGATATTGTCCACGGAATCAGATCACCAGCGGCTCGTCTGCCACGAGACAGACTGTTCGTAATGGAGTCTTCAGATATCTGTCCTTCGAAGCAGACTTGAATAAAACACAATACATCAGGTATTTTGCCTTTAGATCGATGTTTGTCACTGATTGGCGGCAACAGACAAAACAGATGATGTTGTGGTGCGTCAGACATCATCTGCAAGTCGTTCGGTGTGTTCTTGTAATGAGACGACACATACAGTGCCATAATTCGCTGAAGAAACTCTTCGGATGCCTTATGAAAGCTAAACAATGTGTCTCTATTAATATAATATAGATTACAGTTATCGGGAAGTGGACAACCGCCGATCGGAACCGATTCGACAATAGTCGCATCCAGACATAACAATTTATTGAGCCATTGTTCGACGTGATCACCATTTTGATAACGAATCGACTCGTTTAGTGTTAGTTCGTGTAAAGTACGACCCGTGACAGCTGTTCCCGCTTTGTGTCCTAAACTAGCGCTCTGTTGTCTGAGTTGTTGCAGTAGTTTCAATGATAGTGAACGACCAGTTCCTTCGTAGCCGTTGATTGTCGACGACATGAATACCAAATACGGACCAATCAATGATTTGACAATTGGTAGCGGAATGGCTGCCGCCTCGTCAATGATCACCAGTTCGGCCGATTGGGACAATATTTTATTCTTCAGAGCATCTGTTGGATGAATATATTGAATGGTTTGTCTGTGTTCTCGAAACACATTGATTCGGACGACGGCTTTGTTGAACTCAACGTTTGTCGACTGAATGATATCGTAATCCAGATGTTCTTTCAGATGAATGGCATCAAAACCTTTGAGCACAAACTCAAACAATGTCTTCAAATTTTCGGGCGACGGCGACGTAACGTAAATATTTGAATAGTTGAATGCAATGGCCGCCGATATTGCCAGTCCGAGTGCAGCCGATTTGCCTCTACCTCTGCCAGCGGTCAACGATACGGTCGAATTCAGTGTTTTCTCCGAAATCGTATCGACAAACTTGAGGACAGCTTTTGCCTGATCCAGTGTTTTGCACAAATTGATTATCGAACCGATCGGTTGTGTGTCGGCCAACTGTTGGCGCATTTCGCCTAATTCTGTATCGTTCGGCGACAACGGTGTCGACGAATCTTTCCGGGGAACAGCTATAAGATCGGCCAAATGTGACGATACGGGCAGTATGTTTAGCCTGTGGTCGACACAGACACACATTTTGCACGAAACTATCGACAAAATGAATCGTTCGTTAAACCTATTGATAACGTCCTGATGGGCTTCCGTACGATATCTTGAATGTACATCCATTGTCATCGTATATAACTGCTTAAGTGAATCAATTGCGTTCAATAGGACAACAACAATACCGCCGCCTTCAACCGTTTCGACAGTTCGGGCCAATAGATTGGGTGTTATGGCCTCAAAATCTTGAAGTACAAGCATACCAAACGTTTGTCCCAATATCTTATGGGTTTCATTATAATAACTGTAACGTATGTTTGTTTGGGCAACAAATGTCATAAACAGATCCTCATCGTTGTCCAAATCGATGCCCGCTTTCTTCTTTTTGTTCAACTGTCTCATCCGTTTCTTCCGATGACTGGTGTGTGTGGTGTTTGGTGTTTGGTGTCCAACAAACATAAAAAAAAACAGACAATTATTATTTTGTTAGCAATTAATCAATTAAAATAAGTCATCAATCATTACGTGGAAAATCCCAACTCTTTCTTATAACACCAGAGAACTGTTGGCCGACTTTTGACCTGACATTTCGATAGCATTTCATGCAATATCGGTACCTAATATTATCGGGTGATTGAAGTCACAGATGAGATCAGAGACAAAGAGATAATAATAATAATATATATATAAGTAAATAAACCAACAAAAAAAATGTCTTCATGAATAAGAATACAGAAGACAACAACAATCTTCGACATCTACTGACCTGATCTTTGGCTTTTTGGCCGACGACCACAAACATGGATCGGTGTCCCAAATTGATACCATTCTCGATCAATACTTTCAGACGATTATCCAGTTTCTTGAGGACCATTGTGTTGTCGGTTTGGTTTGATTGGATCAGATGTTGAATGTCTTTCCAATTGTTTGTATCAATTACTTCATCATAAGACAAGTACAACACATGTTTGACTGAAAAACACTGTACTTTCAAAACACATGTATTTTTTTAATTGCAATGCATTGACATATACTGTCATCTATTGGACAACAAGTTTTCACTGTTAGTGTATGTATGTATGTGTGTGTGTATATGTGTATATATATATATATATATATATATATATATATATATATATATATATRTGTGTGTGTGTGTGTGTGTGTGTGTGTGTGTGTGTGTATGTATGTATGTGTGTGTGTATGTATGTGTGTGTATGTATGTATGTATGTGTGTGTGTATGTATGTGTGTGTATGTATGTGTGTGTATGTATGTATGTGTGTGTGTGTATATATGTGTATATATATATATATATATATATATATGTGTGTGTGTGTGTGTGTGTGTGTGTGTGTTGTTAAGCGTCTATACACTTGTACTGTACAATACAGTGGATAATAGGGTTAACAACAAAATACTGTACATATAAAATACAGGCTATAAGTATACACTAAATAATAATAATAATAATAATACAGAATATTCTTTGGTATGGCTTATGTATGTGTGTGTGTGTGTGTGTGGCGCTCATTGCATACCAGTGTGTAGTAGTGTTTAGGGCTATAAAATATACACACATATAGACATTATAAAATGCGCCCACCTATCCAACCGACTGGTGTGCGTGTGTGTGTGTGTATGACCTAACCCTAACCGTTAGTGCGCACAAGTAGTCTTTAATTTTAAGGAATCGGTGGGGTTTTTAGCAACAAAATAATTTTTGGTAGTCTGTATTCAACCAACAACAACAACAACAACAAAAATCGTTGTGTATTTTTCGTTAGGGGTTACCATCCATTGCCCTGAAAATTATGAATAATAATTATTATTATCGGCTCTGACTTTTGCATATATTAAAAAAAGACTATAATTTTTTTTTTGAATTCAATTGAATGGTAAGTCAATTGATAGAGAGATATAGATAGAGAATATTCCTATTATTATTAATAATATTAATATGTATTTAGGGTATCTATAAATGTTTTGATTAAATAATAATATTAAAATTAAATATATATATAATCTTTTTGTTGTCGAATTTTAATATATTTAATAATTTTATTTAAAAAATATTAAATTATTTAATTATATATTTATTTATTTAAAGGTGTTGTCGACTATTGTTATTTGTTGTTGTGTGGACACGGATACTATAACCACCGATTGCACACCAAGATTATGGTAAGTCATATGATAATACTGTAATTATTATTATTATATTATAGTTTATTTAAGAAATTGTGTCCTAAAAATTTGTTTACTTTAACTATTTTTTTTACAATAATAATAATTTTGGGGGTTATATACAGACTGGTATATACCTAATCCAGTCAATAATATATAGGCCACGGCTCATGTATTTACCGTAAATATACAAATATAAACGTCTAGATATTAGTGTCGCTGTTGTTGTTATTATTATTGTTAATTAAAGACATCATCATCTTTTGGCTTGAATTCAATGTAAATTTATTTTTATTTAGTATTTCTAAAATAGATTTTATTTTATTATATATTTTTTTTCTTAAAAATATATATATATATATAAGTGTATGACTTGGTGTGTGTGTGTGTGTGTGTGTGTATGTATGTGCTGTTGTGTCACAATATATTTATAGCTTGTTTTTATCGGTTAAAATGAGTAAAATACATATAAAATCTTGGAAATGCAAATTCATATATACAGTACAGTCAGTATATACTGTATTATAATACTGATAATAATATATGATATAATAATAAAAATAATAATAATATAATGCAATACAACGGTTGTTAGGATGAGCTCATGTAGTATCGATCGGCGGCTAAATATTTGTATATACCGTATATACGGTATATTTTCATTGAACTTATATAATGTATGGTTTATTATTGATCTGTTTTTGTGAAAAAATAACTGTTAATACTTTATATAATAAACTGTTTGTGTGTTTTTGTTATGTTTTTTTTCAGTACCGGATTAATAAGTCTAACATTTTATATATATATATATATATATTTGTATAATTAATAGCTTAGTATTCAATATTAATAGTACTACTTATTAATACTGTATATACAATATATATATATATAGTATATATATAAGTATAGGGTCTAAAAGCTACCTAAATATCTAATATAAATTGTTAATAACCTTTAATAAGATATTTGGTTTGTCTGTCTGTCTGTCTGTCTGTCTGACTGTCTGTCTATGGTTTTATCTAAATATAATTTTAGTTATTTTATATTAATTAATTAGTAATTTTCCAATAGCATAGGTTATATCCCTGACATACTGGTATTTTTTATATATATATATTAAATATTAAAGTTTATTATTATTAGTAATTTTGAAATGACAAAAGCATATTCATATATAAAACAAAAATAAAATTATAACTTATACTAAATGGCAAAACAACTCATTTAATAATAATAATATGATTTTTATTATTAATAAAAAAATTGATTTTTCATTTAATGGTAAAATTAGTAAATCCCAGTCCGAGACACACATTTCAAAGAGAAAGAGAGTCTAAATAACTAAAATAACAGCAAATTAATAAAATAAAAATAAAAAGTATAGCAATTAAAACAAATAAAACATTTGATTGAATGAAACATCAATTTTTATGTTTGTGTTTTTTTAATTGAAATAAAAAAACTTTATATTTATATATATATATATATATATATATATATATATCAAAATCAAATGTGTGTTGTTTGTGTCGATACGCTTAGATCTAAATGACTTCAACAAAAAAATAAAAAAAAATAATAATAATACATTTGCCTTGAAATAATTATAAACTATTTCATTAAATAAAAGTATTATTATTATTATAATTTTTTTTTTATATAATGTTAACATAAAAAGTTATATAAAAAAAAGTTACAACATATAAATTAATGTATATTGTTTGATGAATTAATTGAATAAAATAATAATAATATTATTATTAAATAATACAAAAAATATATATAGTTTAATTCATTACCTTAATTTGTATGCTAATAATAATAATAATAATAATAAAATAAAAATAAGTTATTTTAAATATCATCTTAAACAATCTTAAAGTTTATAATAATAATAATAATAATAATGATTTTTAAAAAATAACATTTAAATTGATTTTATTTATTGATATGATTGTTGTATAGGTTTTTATTTATTTTTGTTTGCAAGTCAATCAAATTACTTACACTAACTTATTATTATTATTATTATTATAAATTATAATATACAATTTATGTAAGCATCTAAAAAAATAAATTTATATTTATCATACAATAAATAACTCATGAAATTATAATTGCGAAAATTTTTTTTTTAATTTTGCATATACTGTATGTGTATTTGTTTGCCATATCTATCAAAATATGTGATCTCAACTTCCTTTTGAATTTACAAAAAAAATAAAATAAAATAATAACAAAAAAGACATCATTTTTTTAACAAATAATTTGATGTAATCTCTAGATGTCATTCATGTTATAATTCATTATATATTATATATACATAAGTGATATATCTTAACAATAAATGAGTGAAAATTTTTCCTTAAATTATTGCTTATGCTGTTTTGTGTTATCATATTGTTATTAATAATAATAATCTAATAATAATAATAATAATACCAAATATTATTTAATATATACAAAATTCAAGGATAACTTAGGATGACTATAAATACATGAAATATATAGATATAAATCACTTTTCGTGTAAGTAATTAATAGTAATAATACTCACTCTCTCTCTTTCTCTCTCTCTCTCTCTCTCTCTCTCTCTCTCTCTATGACTCTATTGCTAGAGTTTTACTAAATATATATATATTTATATATATATACTGTATTTATTTATTTAGAAAAGCTTAGTTGCAATTTAATTAAATGTAATTTAGTTTATATGATTAACAAAAGTAAAATAAAAAATAAAATAAACTCTCAATTTAGATTTTAATATAAACAAAATGTTAATTTATATGATTTAACTATTTTATACAATTCTAACAAATAAACAAATTGCTTAATAAACTACTTATACACAATAAAATAGTTGTGTTGTAATAATAATAATAATTGATGATTTAATTATTATTTTATCTGTAATATATTATATGTACTGTATATATAAATACTGTATTTAAAGTTAATTTTTTTTTGCATTATTGCAATATAATACTGTAATTTTTGTTATACTGTATATTTTATTATTATAGATTATTATTTTTTTCCATTTCATTTATTGATACATACATAATGTTTTGATTAAATTGTGTATCAAATTATATAATATTTGTAACCCTGATTTAAAAAAATGCCAATTTTTTTAATAGGTTAACAAATGCCTGAATAATATTATATTTAAAAAAACTAATAATAAATAAATAACACGATTATAGACAGTTTTAGTTGTTTATTTAAATTATACGATATAATTTATATATTTATTTTTAATACATAGTTAAAAAAAATATAATAACAAAATAAACTACAATATTTATTTGGTATTAAACTTAGTGTCAAACTTTGAAACTATATATTTATTATTTATGTTTTTAGTTGAAAAAAACACAATAAAAAATATATTAAATTAATTTGTTTTAATAACGATATTCTTACTATTTTTTTAAGCAACAAATAATAATTTATTATATCTGTTTGTATTAACATAAAAATTTGAAAAAAACAAAACTAATTATCATATATTGTTAACCTTTTTTATTTTGTTATGAAAAAAATTTATTGATATAATTTTTAAAACTATTTATTTGACGTTTATTTTTTCCAATAGATTATAACCTAACTTATAATCTAGGTTATATTTATAACTTATATATATATATATAAATTATGATAATAATAATAATAATAAAATTAGATTTTTATTATAGATAGCTAAGTTAAAAGAAAATTTATTGATAATATTGAAATTTTTTTATTAGTATATAAATAAATAAACAACACATATTTTAAAAAAGTTTATTTGCACCAAAAAAACATATATATAAATATATAATATATTAAGTTTATTATTTATTAGATACAGTAGTACAGTAGCAATGAGCAACGATTGAAATAATAATAATAATAATAATAAAAATAAACAAATATTTTATCCCAAAAAAAACTTAGTTTTTTTTATAAATAGTTAACTCTCAGTATATCTGGATATTTGACTCCTTTTTTTTCTCTCTCTCAGAAAAAAACATTAAAAGCCATAAATATTTTATGTATTTTATTGGGATCTCTCTCTCTCTCTCTCTCTCTCTCTCTCTCTCTCTCTCTCTCTCTCTCTCTCTCTCTCTCTCTCTCTCTCTCTGTAAGCGATTCCTTAACATTATTAGTATTATGAATGCAATCGATTCATAACTAAAAAAAAAAAAATTTTATGATCTAAAAAAATTTTCAAAACATTCAAAGATTATTGTTTATTATATAAAATATTATATACAAAAACTATTATTATTCATAGCCTCTCTATTTTTTTTTCTCTCTCTCTTTCTATGTGTATGTGTTTATACAGTACAGTATGAGTTCCTCAATAGTCGGGAACCCCTATGTATAATGAGAACCCATTATATAATAAATATATAGTTTATTTTAGCGATGAACATAACCATTCAAGTGGGGTGTGGCCTCTCAAAATCTCCCTTTCCCCTTAACTAATATACTAATACTTATTTTGAATCTCTCTCTCTCTCTCTCTCTCTCTCTCTCTCTCTCTCTCTCTTTCTTATTTTTATTGCAATGACTTAAAATTTTTTAAGCGGAAAAATAACTTATTTTTTTTGAAGCAAACATTTTGAATTCAAAAAAAAAACAAAACAAATATATAAATATTTAAATTAATGTAAATATTTAATGACATTTTTTTTTTGAATGAATTTGACTAAGTTTACAGCACAAAAAATATGTATATTATACAGTACTATGAAAATTTTGTTGTAATTAATATACAATATTTATAATTTAATATTTATAATACAAATTATATCATATGATACTATACTATACAACAGTACCATTTCATTAGTATCCTTGTTTGAAACATAATTACATTTAAATATACCAAAAACTTAATACTATATTGTACTGTATTTTTATTAATTATTTTAGTTTTTTTTTGTTGAAAATAAATAGATTTGTTTCCATAATTTATATATTTTTTTATAAACTAAAAGGAAG